GGCACCGGGAGAGGTGAGGGCAGCGTGGGCAGCGGGGTGGCCCTCCGTGGGGCTGGGGTGGTCGCAGGGGTTGATGCTGCTCTTCCCTCTACACCGACAGGGCTGTGTCCCCGGGCCCTGCTGGGCTGCGGGAGCGCCGGGAAAACGTAATACCGTCTCGGCTTTTTTTAGCTGAGCTTTATTTCTTTTGCCTCCATCACCACCCGTTTTAATTCATTTCTAGGACACACCACTAATTTAGGAGGTACCTTTGGCTTTCTGCTCCCCTGTGAGAACCTGTTGAAATGCAGGTGTGAGTTTGTGCATCGTGTTTCCAGAGGAACCCTACTGTCAATCTTTTGGGGTAGCCATAATCAGCCACAAGCAAGACTTAAGCCACTATAGAAGGATAGTGAACCTGAACCCAGTCACACAAGGTTTTTTGTTTTTTCTTTATTTTCCTTCTTTTTTTCTATTTTTCTGTCTTGATATCAATTACCAAACTTCGATTGCCAAGTGTCTTTAACCGTGGTTATCCTATTACCTGCTCCACATCTTCATCCCGCCCCCAGACTAGGATTCTTATTTCAAACCCGTACCTGTCTATGCTTTCCTGTTGCACAGCCCGACTACCCACAACTGTGGTCACAACCAAAACTCCCATCTGCTTAGCTTGAATCCCATATCCATCCCACCAAATTACAAACCTTCTTCTCATTGGGAATCTGCATCCACAAGGCAGGATTTAGCCACATCCCCTCAGCCGCGTTAACACCTTGCTTGCCTCTTTCATTTTAGTAATCTCAGCTTAGTCTTTGCTCAATTTAGCCTTCTGAAGATGCACACCTTGGCATACTGGAAGTGAATATTATCTAGAGAGCCTAGAGTTGCTGCAGCTTAAAAGAGTAAAGTACTGTCAAGCACCTGCTTGGTATTTTCAGAGGTATTTGTTCTGGTAGCTCAGAGAAACATTTCCAGGCAGGCAGTTGAAAGGAAATTGTGCATTGCTCTGCCTTAGGTAAATACATAAAACACTATCAATCACTAGGGTCTATTGATGGAATATATGTTTATATGCAAGATAGAGTTCTCAAGCAACCTGCTAAGTTCACCACAAGACTTTCAGCATCACAAAATTATTTCTGAATAGTCTCCAATTTTACACTGCTTTTTACAAGATGATCATGCAGTTTCTTAACCTTTCAATGTATGGAATAGATCTTTTAATGACTACTTTGCACATAGAAAATAAGCTTCATTCTTCTTTTCCTTGAGAAACGTGAAAAGAACAATAGGGCGTTGGTTTTATATAAATGGTTTCTTGATAATTTCCTGCACTTTGTCTCTCTTTAACAGTGACATAGTGTCTAAAGAATAACTTTCTCATAATTTTGCTCCCATTTGTTTGGCATTGTGGTGAAGGTATAAGTCTATGTTGATATCATTACGATGTTGTTTCTTTTCCTTTAAAGACTGCCTCTCGCTTCAGTAGAATTCTAGGATCTCGTATTGGAAAATTTCCTGCAGCTTTATCTTCACAGTAATACCAAATATCAAGGATGCTTTTGGGCATTTTTTTTTTCCTCAGAATTTTAGAGGCCACCCTTGTCTGAATTTGTTCCATGTTACCTAGCGTGGGTGGACTTAACGAGGCAGTAACTTATCTTTTAGTGACCAGACAAGAAAGGAGTAGGCAGTCGCCTACTGAAGCCACAGGAACAGCAGCGCTGCCTCAGGCCCCATCAGAACAGGAGATGTGCCTACATCACGGCCGGTCTGGTGCAGTCTGCCGGGGGGGTTTAATAGGCTGCCCTTCTGGTGTCTTCTGTTCCGTGTACAGCTGGTAAATTAGAGTACAATTAAGTACAGCACTTAAAGAGATTTGTAATAGAACTTTACTTTTATGCGATGTGCTGACTTGAGTTAATAGAACTGTACCATCGGTTTTTACTATTGCAGGCTTTGTATGGATGCAGTTTCTGTTGAACTCTGCCATTTTAGCATATACAGTATTTTTCTGTTTTCTGAAAGCTAAACTTTCATACCTAGATTGTGGAAATCCCTGAGGCTGCCTCATTTTACATCTTATGTACATTCAACTTAATATGTGCATCTGTTAAACTGCTTTCTGGACAGGATTAATTGTATTCTAGAATCTTGGTTTTGTTATGGTTTTAGATGCCACACTCAGATGGAGCACCTTCCAATAAAAAGACTTTGAGAACTTCGTTTCTTCCCACTGTTTTACCTTCGTCAGTCACATCTGATATGTCACCATTACGGAATAAACTATTGACATACCGAAGATGCAACGAACAGCAAGAGATGCTTAATCAGTTACTGTGAGTTTCATGTAATTCAAGAAATGTTGAAATTCAAATGAAAGAAGCATTGCACATTTGACATCTGAGAAATAATAATGGTGTTTGTTAATTTTAGAGGTTTTTGATGTCACTATTGCAGTGCTGAACACTTTCCATCTAAAATCATTAATAATAGAAGAACATTTGATAGACTCTCTGATGTATTTTCTTTTACCGCACCCAAAATCTGCTTGAGGGTATGTTTGTTGGGATGAGTAGAAAGTGACCTTCACATTTTGAATGTTGTTTATGATAGACTGAAAAAAATCCTTTCTCTTTATGAAAACCTTTTCAAAGAGAATCAAAGTCTGGATTACTTGCTTGCTTTTGTATGAATGATCCAAATGTGGGTCTGCTTCTAACAGGCTTCTTTGTCACTGTCTTAATGCATTTGCTGCTGAGCTCAGTGATCTGTGTCGCTGCCAGAGTAGCACAGCTGCCAAGATGATTGGTAAATTCACATAAAATTGTCTTTCAAGATTTTCATTTGCAAAGGAGAAAAGACAATAGGAAAAGGCTGCTTTCATGTAATTGTTGTAGGTCTGATAGAAAATTAGGTTCTTTTTATTTTATTATTTTGATAGAAATTTATTGCTGAAATACCTACCTTATTTTCAGGAACTTACCGAAGAATCCCTAGACGTGTTGATTATCTTGGCATAAATATGAGAGGATTATGTGGGCTAAGGTTGTATTGTTTATAGTAGTAGTATGAAATATATAGCAACTTGCATTTTCATGTAAAAGCTTAAAAAGGTAAGGAAATCTAATGGTATTAGGTTAGGTATTAGGATTAAAAAGCACAGAAAAAAATGTTTTGGCCTTCAGAAGAAGAAATGGAAATTAAAGACCTACATACAGTCTTAATTTAACCCATTTTAAATATTGTCACTGATATAAATAATTTTATTTTCGTTGGTGTGGGTTTTTAGTGATTCCATTTACTGTGACTAGATTTGGTGATGGTAACCAGTTACTTAACTGATTCCTATGCAATTGATGTTCCACTTCAGTTGCTAGATTTTGCAAAGTGGCCAATTAGTTGCAAAGTGGCCAAGTATTACAGGTTGTTTTTTCTCAAAAGATACTTGTATGTGTCCCAAATTGTTGGCTTTTGGCTTCATTGGAGCTAGGCAGTGGTATAAAACTAAGTTGTAGGATTGAAGTCTGAGAATAATTTATCACAGAAGAGAATCTGATTTGTGCCAAAGATAAGTGAGGGGGATTGCCTTTTTTTTCCTTTTTTTTTTTTTTTTTTTTTTAAATAATGGTAGCAACAATCAGTTATAGAAAGCAGTTAATCTATATAGAAGTTAAAAGTAGAGGAAGATGTTTCCTTTCTTTTAATAGTTTAAAGGCTGTTATAATACAAATCTAACAAACAAGAAGTCTTTTAATTTTAACTCTTGGAAAGTAAATCCTGACCTTTCAATGATCCCTGCCGTAGCAGAGTGCAGTTTTTAGAATGCAGGTGATCAGTATGCTGAAAATGACAACTATGTTGTAGTGATAACTTACTGTGCAGTAAGATAACTTCCTGTGCATCTGACAAACAGTGAATATTCTGCTGGAACATCGATTAAGTTAGTTTTTTGTACAAAGTGAACTGTCTTCTAAGTAAGGTCCCGTGAAGTAATGATTTGAGTGTATACTTGAAATTGGCAGTCTTAACTTCCACTTGGGAGTTTTTAGCTGAGTTATATTGAGATAAGGCTGAAATACTCTTTGCAAGATATGTACAGAGCGTATCCCAAAAGGATGGACTGAAATGTTTTAATGCATAAGGTCAGCAGGACATGCCAACATTAACCATTTAAAGTTTTCTGATAGTTTAGCAATTCTGATATTTAGCAATTTATAACCACAGGCAGTAAAAAAGAGCTGGTCTTAAAATAAACAGCTTTAGGAGTTTTTTTCTGCACTTTTTTCTTGTTTTTTTTTTTTTAATCTTTTCATAATACAGTTGGACAAGATCTGTTGTAGTTGTTTGAGGAGAATTAAGATATAATCCTAACAGGAGCACTGGGCAATTGGATGCGGTGAATCAAGCCATGTATATATTGTGATTGTAGTCAAGATAAATGTGGGTCTTTATAATATAAAGAGAAGACAGAGTATGCAAAGGCAGCCTTACCTTTTAGTCATCAAAGAGTTGGTAAACGTGAAAAAACAGGTTGCATCAATTAAAATGATAGCATTATTTTTGATATATTATTTGTACTTTTTCTGTACTTCTGACTCCATGTTTTACTTTAGAATTGATCGAGCTTTAAAAGTCTATCACATATCCATGGAAGAAAAATATCACAGAGATCCTGTACCTCCTATCCCAGAACTGCCTTCCACTGTGAGAATATTTCTTTAATATTTTAACTGTTGCCTGTTTTGTTCTTTGTTATTGGGGCATTTATGCCTCTTACTTCATAGTATTTACTTAAAGATACTTATCTCAATCCTTAGTAATTCATAAATATATTTATATGCTCAAGTAGTCCCATTGAAATTGATATCAGTATATCTACAGAATAAAGTCTTTATTTAGGACTAATATTTGTTAAATTTTGTATTTCTGATTTTTTTTTTGTTTATATGTTCTTAATACATTACGATTTTCTGTTCCTTTTTATACAGATGAACAGTGAGCAAAAACAACAAAAAGTGAGTTAAATTCTTTTTTAGAGTAGAAGAGTGAATGGTCTCTATTCAGAAGGGTTGAGTATGTTGTGTGGAATTAATGGTGGTTAAACAGGAAAAGCTTTTTCAGTAGTCTTGTTGGGGGAAAATGGAATAGGAAGCAAAATAGGAATCTTTTCTTGTGGTCCAATAGAAGGAAAGTATTTTTCTATTATGGAAAGTATGTCCACCAGTAATTTAAATTTTGATCTAAACCTTAGTTAAAGATCATTACTTAGAATAATTCTAACAGGCTTCAGGATTTTTTCAGTTGAGGTCATAGTTTGTACTTTAGCCTGCACAAAAAGTAGTCTTTGACATTGTTCACCTGATTTGAAGAACATGTACAAATCCTGGAATTTGTGTATAAATTTTAAAATAAGACTTTATCTCTGAGAGCCACTTTAAACTCAAATTAGCATTGAAATATTTATATTAAGTAGCTTAAGGAAACATCTATTTTTCTTTGCTGATGTTAGGTAAACTCATTCTGAAGACTATAGAGATTCAGATCCCTTTTTGTTTATAACAAAACTATCACTCAAAAGCATAAATACCTATTTCTTTGGCCAAAAAAAAAATCCTATTTGTGCATACTTTTTGCCAGATAAATGTTTGTCCAAAGAACAATAACAGGAACCTTGGACTGGTTTATTGTCAGTCATAAACTTCAGCAGAGAAC